GAGGATTCAAAGGAGACAAAGAACCCCAGACCTGAGGATTCAAATGAGATAGAGAACCCCAGACCGGAGGATTCAAAGGAGAGAAAGCGAAGTGGAAAGGTCACGAAGGAGAAGAGTGATGCAAAGCGGAAGGCCAAACCAGCTGATGATCACAATGACAAGAAGACAAAGAAGCAGAAGAAGAATAAGAATACAAATACCACCAATGCCAAAGCAGACATGCCCGCCCCAAAGGCAGATGAGGTGGAAAATGATGAAGATGAGGTGGAAAAGGATGAAGATGAGGTGGAAAAGGATGAAGATGAGGTGGACAAGGAGGAAGATTTGATGGCTAAATACAAGAGGCCTGGCAAAAAAAGCACTGGGGCAATCACAAAATCACAAGCAAAGAAACGTTTGGCCAAATTGCGCCAGCTTCGGAAGGCCTTGAACCTGAACACCAAGTCGAAAGGAACCAAGCAATCTGAAAAAAAAGAGGACGATCCTGCTGCCAAAGCTTGGGATGAGTATGCCCAAGCATCAATTGAGGCAGACATGGCCCAGCTGAAAGCAGTGATTGACGAGCAGTCTCATCAGCCTGACAAGAGGCGTGGTCCCTTGAGCCTGAAGGAGGCTGCCAAACTGGCAACCAGCGGTACTTCGATGGCGCTACCGAAGAAGAGATCAAGAGCTAACCCATCAGCTGAGGATGCTGTGTCAGGGGCGGGGGACCAGTCTGATGCCAAGTCTGCTGCTGAGCCAGCACCTAAACGTCAGGCAAAGAGAAAGGCAAGGAAATGTTCGGTGGCAAAAAAGCTGAACTTCGATGCAGTGGCTGAAAGCTGTGAGAACCCAGACATGGAAGAGGTGGAGGGTCCAGCTGCAGCTGATGAAGGGGCTGATGAAGGGGTGGAAGATCCAAATGCAGCATCTTCTTCTCAGCTTTGTCCTAAGCATCAAAGAAAAGCAGCACCTAAGAGGAAGCCACGTTCCAGGAAAACCAAGGAGGCATCTTGTTGTCAGCTTTGTATTGTGTTTTTCTAATATAATTTGTATCATCTTATTTTCTTCTTCTTCTTCTACTTGATGTATGGGCTTTTTTTGATTATGTTCCTTTTTGTCTTTTATATTCTTTGGCACTGTCAACTTGAGCCCCTAACGCACTCGAGCCTCTTACACTTTGTGTTCATATGGGCATCTAGTGCACTTGAGCCATCTTGAGATTCTAAGACTTTGAGAATCATATGTTGGTTCTTCTAGTTATTATCAACGTTGAGACCCCATAGACCCAACTTAAATGTCATCTACAGCATCCAAATCGTGGGGCAGGTGAGTGAGAAGAGTTCCAATCCGTCCATCATGCAGCAAAAGTACTATGAGCATCTTCGTGACTGCAGTGTGGAGCTGAGACATGACTTCCCGGACTGGTCGGGCAAGGAAGTGCTTGCAGAGGCCCGACGCAGGCCAGGGAAAGTAAACAAAAACCTTTTAAACCCAAATCTCTTGAGTCTGACAACCAAGTGTATTCTCATCAGGGCAGTGTCAAACAATGGTTCCCCATGACCTAACCGTAACCCAAGCAGGTGGCGCACTCATCCAGATCGCATCAACATCATTCAGCACATGAGTGCCTCTGAACTCTCACGACGCCGGATCGTGACCACGGCGCCAAATACTGGGGCCGGTGCAGAGGAGGATCCTGAGGCTGAAGTCGAGGACGTGGGCAATGCAGAGGAGGATCCTGAGGCTGAAGTCGAGGACGTGGGCAATGGCGATACTGAGCCTGAGGAGCTTGGGTCTGGTAGTGAAAAGGACATTCAATAGAGAGCATGGTGCTGATGGCGCAATGCCATGATGGCAACCCCAACAAAAATGTTCAAATGGTTTGTGTCTCAAACGGTGGTGATGATGTACTGTGAGGGGATGATCATACGAGAGGGTGCCAACCATGCCGGGGTAGATCGTGCTTCCCCATAGTGGCGTGTTAATAAGCAACTTTAGATTCCATAGTGGGATGATCTTGCTTTGTTTCTTACATGTTAAAGCCAAGGGGGAAGTTTCTGCGATCTTGAGTTTAGCATAGATCTGGCACTAGATCTGGCATAGTCTAGCAGCTGAAGAGTTGCAGAATTTTGGCAACACATACACACACACACTCTCACTTGCAACATTCAACAAAAACTGCATATCAATGTGCAGCTCATTGCAACTCAGCCCAGCTGACACTTTATTTGATAGTAGTTAGTGTTTTTCAACACTATCCAATACTCAGTGGTGACTCCGGCAGCGTATCTTGCAGCACATGAAAGGTTCTGCTGTGATTTGTGCTCTAGTATCCGGAGTTGGATCACCGCTGCTTGGGGCTTAAGAAAAAAATGAGTGCTGGAGTGCTTTGAACCGAGATCAAGTCATTGGCAGAATTACATGATCCTGATTCCTGAGTCCCTTTCTCTGAATGTTCATAACTGACCTGATCCTTATTCCCGAATCCTTTCTCATTGCTGATCTTGTCCGTGCCAGGTGAGCTGGACCGGGTGATGGTTTGTGCTTGGCATAACGATCAGGCACAAGTGATCCTTGAGATTGCTAATGAGGAGTCAAAGGCAACGACAGATGCTGATCGTTGCAGCTTAAGGGATTTGTTAGACGAACTCAGTGAAGAAGTTGGGGAATTCTCCATCAACAACCACACCTTCGAGAAGCCCTCAACAGTGAAGGATCAGCCTCAAGGTGCTGAAACTAATGTCCTTTGTAGGTTTCGTTGTCACATACCTACTACCAAGATTGGGTTTAATGTATATTTCTTTGGCTCAGGTGAACCTGCATATATCATCAAGCCGAAACCGCAGCAGATCTTTTTTTCTTGGAGCACCCCAACGAACATGAACGGTGTCAAGTTCGCGTCAGCAGCATCTTTGTTCACAACAGATGCAGCTTGGATTTTATGGTGCCTTTTTCGGTCAGTCAAACACCAAACCCGAAGATCCCAAAACTGTGGCTCCCAGGCCATCGAAACATCAAAGACCTTGTTGCGAGCTTGGCGGGTGTTCTTTCAGAAAGAGAGCAAGGAAGCTTGTGTTTGATAAAGAAAAATGTATGCCATACAGCAGTCTTGGAATTTCAGCTTTATCTCTGGCTGTTTTACAATGCTTTGCCTTGAGATTTCATCCCAGGAGCTCACGCCCCGCGACTCTTCTTTATAAATTATTAGAAAGAACTGAAGCACACGTCTGAAACACAAATACCCAAACAAGATGAAAGCTTGTGTGACTGTGTTGTGATACAGTTTGAAGATAAACTTAGTTGTCAACGAATCACACTCAGGTAAGCCGCTGTACTTTTTGAAGAAAGATGTAGTTCTGAAAGAGAACGAATGCCTTCGTTTGATCTAATGGGTTTGCACTGAAAACAGTGCTTGGGATTTGATGCCAGCAATCCCAATTCAGTGGATGCTGAGCGAGGGACGCATTGGAGGATTCCCACGGGAAAGCTGAAAAAGAGCCAAAGCTGCAAGTGCGAGCTCACTGACACATCTGTCAGGACATAGGACATGGTTTGGTCACCATATTAGGCATAATATGGAATACCTGTCACCTGAATGTAATGTTCAAACACCTGAATACAATGAAATTTACTTTCAAGTAGTCTACGGCCTGCTCTATTGTTTGTCCAACATTGTCCAATAGCATCAGAATTTGCTGGTGAATGAGATAGGGCCCCTACATGAACAAGGTACTTTTTTGATGACTGGCTTTGCTACTGAAGTAGTCTGAACGAGGTACTGGGACATGTCTTCCTACTTGAGTAGTCTTATTCGAGACAGGACCCAGTAGAGTTTGTGGATGTTTTGGGGGTTATGAATAAGTTTGAGTCGAGCAACTGGGCTATACATTACCAAACATAGAATAAACATTGTTTGCAAAAATCCAGCAAACAAAGACAACACAAAAGCAAATGGACAAGCACAGCCATTTGCTTTGTTGTTGAATTTGTGTACTTGTTGTCAACATGTTGTTTGCATTGTGTTTCTGGTACCATTTCTGCATTATTTATGATAACTTTTTACCCCTCAAAACAAACATGCACAAAGCGAAACACAGGTGAACAAAAAGCGAAACAAATGCAAAGGTGTGATAACAAAGCAAACACCATGTGAAAACACTGCGAATAACAAATCATGCAAAGCCACATGTTGTTTGATGTGCTTTTGCTTTAAATAATGGCTCCTTATTTCCACGGCTGCCATGGTCTTAAGAATCAATGCCGTTGATCATGTCACGTCCAATATGTCCTTTCTTCAGGCTTTGCAAGCAGATATCTGTCGCACCACAAGGTACGAAAACGGCCCAGCGGATGAAGAACGGAGAGAGGCAAATGTCTTCACAGCACACGCACATTCTCAATCCCTCCAGACCAGGGCATCACCCTAATGCTCCGTTGGGTGTTTGAGCGGATACGTACAGAAAAAGACTCCGTTGCGGAGCAACCGACTGAGGGGCCAGGTGACTGGGTGACATCTATCTACGGGTCGTTTTGGAACAAAGACGACCCGCACCCCGAGGGGTGACCGTTCGGTCGAACTGGGATGTGGGCGTCCTTTGGATCTGGTGGGTACAGCGTAACTAGGCCTTTCGGTGTCGACCAAACTCCCTACAATATAGGGGGTTAGTTCCGAGATGTTCAGAGGTGTCCAGGGAAAAAACAATCTTTTTGGCCCATCGGGTTCCGATGAGGTTTTCCTCCTGGTCTTGCGGTTCCCAATCCGCTACCTGCGGAGCTTCTACCGTTCCATCGACACCATGCGCGAGCAGCTCCAAAGCTTTCGCGTCACAGACGCCACCTGTCACTGCTGCACCGTGGACCACAGGGGTGGCGCGATGCATTGCGATCGGGAGGCGCACTCTGCGCGGAGTTCTTCCCCGACGGAGGGCGCGTTCAGCGAGGAAGCTCCGAGATCCGAGACGATTGTGTCGTAGTATGGCCAGGAGCCCCGAACGTAGCGTCCGAACGCTCCATTCGTAGCGATGCCAGGAGCCCCGTTCGTAGCTTCTTGTTACTAGGTATGCATAGCTGATGGATGATTTGGGCTGTATTTGCCATGCACCGTCGAACGAAAAACATTACCCACGTCGACGGAACGATCTGATCCGCGTCGAGGACATTGGAGGACGACATTTGGTCCCTCCATACGAAACACCCACATGCATTTGAGACCAAGCGAAAGCCTTTTGAGGCCGACAGAAACGGAACACGCCACGACTTAATCGTGCATCCACATCCGGCATGAGTCGGTATGAGCAAGGGGCAAAAGGATTTCATCCTCTAGTCAAGGAATCGCATGTGCAACAGCGCTTTGGCCAAGATTTCTGCCCTGATTGCGCGTATGTTACAAAAATGTCCGGAAATGGTCGTGTCCTGTTCTTCTTGAGCCAGTCTTGAAGACGGCAAACCGTAATTATTTTGCAGGTCACAGCATGAATGGGCAATCCCCATCGACCATGTGGCCAGCATCAAAGGCAACCGCAAGAGAAACCAAAAAGCAACGGCAGCTACTAGTAGCTTCTTGTGACTAGTAGTAATGCCAGGAGCTACTAGTAGCTTCTTAAGTTACTCATCCAGTGCTTTCAGAATATTTCCATCTGGTTGGCGGAGGCAGCTTGTGAGGAATCTTAGGCAGCCATGGGAACAGAGCACGAACTGGTCACCATTATGAACTAATATATACACAGTATTGAATCAGTATGATATAGTATATTATGTTTTTGATGAATACAACATTGATAGTTGAATACATTAGATGTTTCTCTACGGAGGTGTCAACGCAATTGCCACAGCACACTAGCTCGGATTTCAGCCTCTTTTTCATGGCACTTGGTATTTCAACATGGATCCAAATCATGCGTAGCCAGTGGATCCCGGCAAGCCAACGGTATTTGGGCAAGCGAACCCAAACACACCGTCGACCGAGTCCAACCACGTCGGCCAGTCCGGCCGTAAGAGTCACGCGTCACCGCAACGGTGACCGGACTCGAGCCCAGTTGGGTGGAGGTGATCCAGCAGTGCCTGGTGCAATGGTTTGGGTCCATTGAGAACTTTGAGAAGTCCGTTCAAACCAATGCATTTCGGTCGCAGAGGAGGTTAGAGGATGTCACGTCCATGGGTGGTGGAGAGATGGGTCCAATGGGTGGAATATGTATGCAGCCTTCTGCATTTTCCACTGGTTTTAAGGAGATCTTCTCAAAAGAGTTCAAAAGAGATGTCTTAAGAGTAGCAGAGTTGGAAAACACGACTGTGGAATCCATGTTGAGGGATTCCAGCTAGAGAAGATTCACTTTGGAAGGAACACATGTTGAGACGGGATTTGGTGCTTGTGGCTGAATTGATGTTTGTCCATTGCGCATTCTTTAAAGCACGGCCGTGTCCTTCCGGATACCCAAGTTGTTGATTGCTCTTGGAAGGGTTTTGAGGGTTTCCCGAGCATGTGGGAAGTGTGCAACGTCCCTGGTGTCAAGTGAATTCCAGTACTGAGTGGAATATGTCCACAAGTTGTGTTTTATACTACTCGTTCTCAATTCTTTCAGGAAAAGGGTGCTGCTTTACGAGTTGCATGTGTTGAACAACAACCAGGTTCTTGTAGCCTTTCAGTGGGCACTGGTGACCCAAACATTCCATGTATGGACTGGTCAGTCGCTTGTGTGTTTTGCAAGTGCATGAAACCAGCTGAGAGGTTATAATTAATGGCACCAATCACACACACACACACCATAGAACCTTGAAAAAGTGAATGCGTCCATGTCGATTCCAGCAAATTGAAATGACGGGCACATGTTTCTTCAATCCTCACGTGGTGGGATTCTTCTTGCTTTCCACTTAAACGCTTCCGGGCTGTGAGAGACATCTGCGCGTCCTGAGGTCTCTGAAGCTTTGCTTCACCAATTGGGGTACTTCTCCTTCCCCATCAGTTGGATGCTCGCGTGTGCTGCCCCCGTCACCTGGTCCTTTCTTCCCTATGCCATCCAAGAGCCGTTGTGCCTGGGTACGAAGCAAGCACTGGCGGGATGTCCAGGTGCCAAGTCTCCACAGGTGTTGGTGTTTTGTTGCCACCCACTACCGCCTCCACACTTCCAAAGGTCCATTTTCAAATTCCATGTCAATCTACCCGGGTGCACGTTTGTATATATCTGAACATTTTGAACCCAGCTAAACTCTGGACAAGAGGACATTTCAATGGAACACTTATGATGGGAGGGCTCTCCTCTCAATCTAGTCTGATACACACCATACATAGAATATAATGTGTGTATATATATATATATGGCTCCACTAACTAATCCCCGAAGCCACCCAAGTTAGATAAATATACCGCAGCATTCCCATGCACAGTTTGGGTGATTTTGCACACCAACGGAATGAAACAACATGGCTGGTCCATGAAGTTCCTGGAACGATCCTGTTAGCCTTTTCCATTCCCGAAACCCAAATGTGCATCCACTTCTTCCAAAAGTAAAAGGACATTTTTGGTTTGGGGGGCGGGGACCGAAATAGTTCTCTTCCGTCCTCAGATTCCCAGGTTCGATCCTCAGATCTACAAAATCCGAGTTCGGAGTCCTGGACTGGGTTCATCCTGTCGGTGACCTGTTTAGAGTCCCATCCAGTGACACTCCGACATGCCGATATCTCTCAGTTTGCAGGGATGGTTTAGGGATGAACAATGATCAAGTTCACTCAAATCAGAACTCTGCATATAGTTTACTCCCTATCTCGCCCCTACCTCCCCCCCATCTCGCCCCTATCTGGCCCTCAGTGGCCCCTCAGGTTCGGCACCTTGTTTATTTTTGCCTGGACCTTCGCGGTCCCCACCATCTTCATGATCGCCAGCTCCAGCAGCTACCTCCTGCGCCGCCCGCGCGCCTCGCGCCTGGGCGACGCGGTGGTGAACGTGGCGTGTGCCGCTCGGCGAAGAGAGGCGTTTGGGGCGAAGAGTGGCGTTTGAACCTGATACCAAGAGCCGAGATACAACATATGGCACCTAGAGCTTGATACAAGAAGTCTCATCAAGTCTCTATAAATGATATTGATACCAGACATGACCTTTGTTTTGATAGGACGGTTGACCATGTTTTGGATGGGTGGCGATCAAAATTGAGGTCACTCACGCTTAAGGACATTGGGCAAACAAATGATCTCAAAGTCTTTTAGTGACACGTTCGTGTTGCAAGCATTGCAAGGCCTGTTATGTTTGTTGCTGCAGTTGAACCACAGACCAAACATGGAGTTCTTTTGGAGAGTCTTCTTTCAGGTGTTTTTCTCTGTAATCACCGAAATCTGGCAGTACCTCAGACACCACACAACCTGGAAGGGCCACAGATGGGGTTCCCAGTTCCAGTCTATTCCATTTTCGGTGGTCAACCAGGGTTGGGTGCCATGACCCACAGCCATTGTAGCTTCGGGCGGGTAGACGGTCGATTGCTTCGCACCTTCCAGACTGAGTCGGAACGACTGGGTTCGGTCTCTCTATGCATTATATGCATACGTATATAATATATATATATATATGTATATATATATTTACATATGCCCATTTAGCAAGATGACGTGGGGAACTGAGATGAAGTGAGATGAGCTGATCTTTCTAAGTATACAGTGGGAACTCAGGTGTTCACGGCCCAGAGCTGAGTGATTTCAAACCCAGAGCTGGGCGCCTAGCAGCCTCCAGATAGATGGGAAGATAGCAGCAACATGTTGCCACCCAATAGAGATTTTGCGCAACTATATATTGAAATTTGGCTGTCCCAAAAACGCATATGAAACAAGGGAGGTGTTTCATTTAACGGGTGTCCCAAATATAACGTGTCATGTTACACCCTGTGGTTTACATTGCTGTCTCCGGGCACGCTTCGCGTTGCGCGGCTTTTACGCTCAGGTCTTCATGTGCGCTGGCAGTTACCTTGCCATGGAGTCGTATGTGGCTTGGAGGAGAACGCCTCGAAGCAAAGGAATCTGGGGGAAATGCCCTGAAAGAGCAAAAGTAAAGCCTTTTGGCTTTGACTACCACCCTGTCAAAGGTAGGTGTGGCGACTATTCTATACCTTTTCAGGATGGCTTTGCTTATTCAAGCCTATACTTCGAGGTGTTCTTGCTACATCCGCCTATGCTGAGGTTGGCTTGCTGTCGGCCACACTGAACTATTGGCAGGGTATTTTGACTTTTGCTTCCACCATGCTTCTTGCCATGGCCGCTGCCTATGGCAGCTGGGCGGGCTGCGGCGCCTATGGCCGCTGCCTTTGGGCGCGCTCGAGCGGCCGCTTTGGCGATGTGGAGGATTCAAGTGCTACGGATGAATGGGTTGGAGAGGCACCCAATCCCAATGCTGCAGTGACGGCGATGCTTGAATCGGTTGGAGAGGCACCCAATCCCAATGCTGCAGTGACCATACAGTTGTAAGCGCTGACGGCCATTGTAGTTGTAGCCTTTTGGTCATTGACATGGTCTCGGTAGCCGGTCTCGAGAGAATCCATTGAGGAATATCTCATCTATGTGACTTGACCGACGGACATTTGTTAGTCCTTGGGGTGTTTGAAAAAGGGTGCTGTGTCTTGAGGGTCATAGATGATGGTCTTGCCGTCAAACTGGCGCCTCAAAAGACTGGAAATTTGGAGATGCATGGTGTTCTTCAAGATGTCCTGCCTGTGCTTGTAGTACTTGTGATAGTTTTTGCAATTCCCACACTCAGTGGTTTAGGAGAGCACCAATCCCACAGCAATCATGTAAAGGCTATGTCAATACGTTGAGACCTGCATTAACCTGCATTGCACATCAGCAATCAATGTGGAGCAGGCGTACTTTGGGTAAGTATGCTGCATACACGCTGAGCAAGGAAGACCCTATCAACCATCCTTCGTGTCGAAAGACCATGGCAAACTACAACCAGAGAGGTTACCCAACTCTAAAGCCGATCCAAAAGTCACTTACATGCTCACCATATTTGGAATCACAAAAGGGTTTCGGTCCTGTGTAGTAGTTTGAGTCACCCTCGTTCCGCAATCGCCCCCCCAATTTTTCACGATGGACCAGTGAACTCAGTGAACTGCCAGGGTTGAGGCTCCTAAGCCACCCCGAAAGCGCCTCCCACAACTGGATAGATCTTGGGAGTACATGAAAAGGGGCCATGTCAGTGGACGAAGAGATTTTGACACTCCACCTGCGGTGAAACCGCAGAGAACGAACTGCCCGGCTCCTACGCCGAGCCTGCATGGCTTGAAAAGCCAGGTTGGGCGCTGCGATGCCGATGATTTTAGTCTTGGTAATTACCAGGGGCTCCGCAAGAGCAGGAAGATTTTTGGATGGCATTGACCAATACCAAAAACCAACTGGTTTTCAAAGAGCAAACGTCCAGGCTTGTAAGGGTGCAGGGGCGCCTGGTGGATGGCTCTTGCTATCCTGCCAAGCTTTTAAACTGGCCTTGGAAGGATCTTCTTGTGTCTTCGGATCAACTTGCCTAGGGGGTTGGGAGGTTCCTTCTATATAATATATACTAAGACTTGAACATGTGGAGAAGCTTTACTCTCTCTCTCTCTATATATATATATATAGTTTTGCTTTTTTTCCCTCGGTCACTCACTCCACATTTCTTCGGTCGCACGTGGGTTCAGACAAAAACAGCAACCTTTGGGACAGCTTTCCCAGAATGAACGGAACGTGACATGGAGCCTTTGACCAAGGACGTTTTGGCGTGGCAGCTCTTCTGAAGCCATCTTTAAACGCAAGGAGCTAAACAGGACATTTCAATCAATATATCAATGTGCTTGTTTTTATAGGATTGACGATACATATAAAACTACATAAAATTGTGTCCGAACCTTTTCCAGGAATCTTGGATCTTGGATCCAGCAATTGTGTAGGTATACGGTATACCTTGCTTTTGAATGCTTTTGATTCTGTGTCAATCGTACTAGCCACCTTGCTTCATGTCATTTGGACATGAAACGGATGCTGCCTTTGGACATGTATAGAGGTTCTTTACACTCGACATTTTACACATATTTATCAGTCTAGAAACATGTTTCGAAGCCACTGGTTTTCTTGAGAACACCTCTTCAAAACCGGGGCATTTGTTAATGTTTGATGTGTTAATCAAAATGCCTTGATATATGGCTAGCACACTGTTTTAATCTACAAATGCAACCACTTAAAGCGTGCGAGTTTCCAAATGCTTGTGCACCTGTATGTTCCTAAATGTAAGCACTTTTGGCTCTCAATGTCTTGGAGTTTTTAAAAACATGCACACGACAATATGACAAATTGGGGTCCCGGTACACATGAGGCAGTAAACAAAAAAATTACTCAAGAAGTGGTCTGTGGCTTGTCTTTTTTTCACTAGGTAGCAGATCCTTGGTGAACCGATAAGGAGCAAAAAGAACGATAAGGTCCCCATACTATACAATTGTTTGCAATTGTTTTTTGGCTTAGGCATGGAAGAGAGTGATCATGTTGCAGTGTGGGGGTGATAGATCTTTTGCGCTCTGAGTTTATTGAGTCTAAGTGTTGTTGAGAGTGTCCTTGTGCATCATCCTGTTTTTGGGTCTGTCGCTCGAGCGCTGGCATTCCAATATAGTTCTCGGACAGCCCAGTCGAGTCTGGCCGACTTGGCAGAACCAAAGGCGAGACAAAGCAGGAACCAAGTCACGAAAGAACAAGGGGGTCTAAGGTGTCTTAGCCGACGAGCTTTGATTTTGGAGACCAAAGACAGCCTGTCTGTGCTCATCTGATTTCACTAGAAACTCATCTGATTTCACTAGAAATGAATTTTGGCGGCCAAAGTTGATTTTCACAAGCCGGTCTGCTGCACGGAAGCGGCGCGCCCAAAAGTGAAATTCGCAACCTGAAACTCATTTCTGACTGGCCTTTCCTAGCATGAACTTGCTCAAGCAGCTTGTGAAGTGCCAGCTGGAGACCAGACTCAGCGCAGGCGCTTCAGTGGTGCTGTTTTTAGGTTTTGCAAGGAAGAACCAACATCTCAGCCAAGCTGTCGCAAAATTGCTGCGTGGAATTGCAATGAAAACGAAATAGCTCAACGCAAGGGGCGCCACGTGGTGACTTTGTCGGCAGCGCCCTTCAAGGGTGACGGTTTCGGAAGCCTGACTGGCAGGAAAGGGCCTTGATGCTTAGCACACGCAAAAGGAAGCAACTCGGTTAAGATCTTGAAAGGATGAATGTGCGTGATGACCTGGCCTAGCAACGCAGTAGCAAAGCCACTTTCCATACCGCCGCGACCATTGCGGCTCTTTCTTCAGAGTCACACTGGCAAAGGGGAGCAATGATCAAACAGCCAAAGCACTAGCTAAAATGGTCCATTCTACATCTACTGTATTTCTTTTACAACTTTACTAATCACTTTGTAAGTCTTATGTTGTCACTTCTGGTGTCATTGATACAGTGGCTTGCTATGGGTCTTCATGGAAGTTGCTGCAGACTTAGGCGAAAAGATGCCACAAAGGCAACTTAACAACTAGTCAACTAGTAGTGCTGCAGCAGACTCTGCAGCAGCTGCTGCAGCAAGCTAGCACCATGGGCACTCACCATGAGCATGCCAAAACGATAAGGTTTGTTCCTGGTCAGTCTAACCTCGCAAAACGATGAGTAGAAAAGAACGATAACCCCGCACGAGACATCTTCAAAGTTGATGTCTTCTTTACAACCTCACATGCAGGATGTGATCTTGCATATGGATGGATACTCTTTCAATAGCATGGTGACTCGTTGGTTAAAAGGTTTTAATTGACATAAACTGTTAAAATTTACGGATTTGGGCCATCCAGCCTGGCCTCCCTTTGGGGGAGGAAATTATGTGTGTCTTCCTACTTGTCAAATAATTTGCTCTTGAAATTATAGGATGTTTGTGTCAAAAGGAACGTATATACTTACTTAGCGAAGCAGTCTATGTGCTTCCCCAACTGTGTGCATGTAGCTGGTTTCTGCATACTAAAATACATTCACATTCCTCCTGATTTTCTCCGTATGGCAAAAGCCCCATCCTGTAATCACATTTCATTCTTACAAGAGCCTCTCCCTTGCTGTATGCGTGGTTTTTAAAGTCTCATCCTTGGTGGCTGTGTTTGTTTTCGTCAGGGCCTCACCCTGTATGAACATATCATCTCCAGTACCTGTGTTAGTTTGTTGTGTTTAATTATTGTCTTCAATAGAGCTGTCTCAGCTGTCTCTGCAAAAAAAGTGCCCCAGCAAAGGTTGACATCACCTTGCTGGAAGACAAACATGTGTGGACGATGTTAATTGGTTTTCAACGTTTGTCTAGCAGAATTGATATGTGTGTCATGGTGATCCTGCACGGTCCACCTTGCAACAGCACAAGCTTCTGGGAACATGACGATGACCAGTCCTTTTCAAGACATCCCTTTTCTGGGTAGTAAAGATCCAATCCCTTTAAACGGGGCACTGCTCACTCTTATGAAACCATTGGTTCCAAAAATCAATTGGTAGAAACACGGTGTTCCACAACAATTCCTCAAATTTGTGGAGGTGTTGTCCCTGAAGGGTAATTTCATTTTTCCAGAGGTCATCGAAGGTATATGCCTATTACATGCATATTAAAAGTTGGTTTAATTCAAACAGATAAGAACATCATGATACTATCGGCGAGGCCCTCACAAAAAGAACACACGTCACATGCGTGGGGAATGACATCACTTCTTTGCAGGGGAAACATCTTTGCAAGGATCAAGGATGGATACAGGGTTGAAGCCTCACAATAAGTAGCGAGCAAGCCTATTGAAATACGATAGACTGGATTTTCTCTTAATAGAGGAGGATGTTTTTCTCCAGAGACATTGAGTGAAACAATTTTGGTACAGAAATAGACACGGCACACTTCAAAACCAAAGAGGCTTATTTATAATCAGTAAATCCTTTTGTGAAGAGAGTCTTCTCTAAACAACACAGGGGACAACCAGAGTGCGCTTTTTGTATGTTTCTCCATCAAGGGAATTTGCCCAGAAACTATATTACAACCATTGTCTTTACATGGGTCTGCAGTTTATCTAAATAGGAATCCGATCGCCACAATGGGTAGACTGGCATAGGTATCAAGAAATACATATTGTTCGAACCAAAAAATATTTACCGAATCAAAAAACAAATATTTACTGAATCAATTAAAATATATTCGTTGTGCGAAGTTGTGCGATGAAATCCCTTGGAATTCCCAGTCGTGTAGGTGGCCATTGCGGTCCTCTGGTCCGCTGGTCCGCTGGTCCCCTGCAGTCCGCTGGTCCACTAGTCACTTGGTCCGCTGAGGCTGGTCCGCTAGTCCCTTGGTCCTCTGGTCTTTTGTGGATTCAATATTTGTGTTTTTGTTTTTCGTTGTCACATCCATTGCTTGCTTATGCACTGTTGCACTCGTTGCGTGAGTCCAGCTGCGTGGGGCTCAAATGAACTGGTTTCTCCACCACTACTACTACTACTACTACTACTACTACTACTACTACTACCAC